GCCTCCCCTGGGGCCTGAGGGGGGCCCAGCGGGGGGGGTGACTGTTCCGGTCCCTGCTTAGGAAGACAGAGGCAAAGAAATCATTAAACATGTTGGCTTTGTTGTCTGGTGTGACGACCAAATTTCCTAACGTGTCCTGCAGGGGCCCCACATTACCCGGAACCTTCTTTTTACCCGCTATGTATTTAAAGAAGGACTTCTTATTGTCCTTGATCTGAGAAGCTAGTCCCAGTTCCATCTCTGCCTTGGCCTTCCTGACTGCCCCCCTACATCCCCAAGCAACTGCAGTATGACTATCCCTGGTGATGTCCCCTCCTTTCCATTGGGTGTGCGCCTCCCTTTTAGCTAGGAGACATTCCCAGATGCTTTTGGTGAGCCATGGGGGCTTGTGTGCCCTCCTGCTCCCTTTGATCCTCATTGGGATTACCTCCCTTTGGCCTTGGAGGATTGTCTCCTTAAGGAGCGACCACTCTCCTTGGACACATAGCTCCCCTCCCCTCTGGGACCTCAGTGCTTTCCTGACTATTCTCCTTAGCTCATTGAAGTCGGCGTTATAGATACTACCTTTTGACAACACTCAATGGCATAAAGCTGAGCAGGTGAATAATTTTTTCCCCCTAAAATAAGTCAGCTATTATTTGTTACATGTCTGTACATGTTACAGGCTGAAACGGGTTCCATAAATACATTAGTTTAGTCTAGACTAATTCAAACAAACTAGGTATGCAAATATTCAACACACCGATGGCAAGATGCTTTTGCTGATAACTCTTGCTTTAGTGTGTGGGTCCCAAATTCTGATTGCTTTTCTCACACTTCTTTAGATGGAAAGACATAAACAGCTATGAAAACCACTTCTTTAATATGCTACTTTTCAATTCAATTCAAACATACACTTATTGGCAAAAGGAACAACATGAACTAGGGAAAAAAGAAATCAGAATCAAGCACTATAATGCCACAGCAAATGCAAAGTAATTTTCATGCTTTGGATCCTGACTGATTCAGATACAGAGCAATCTCTTCACTACATAGCACAAGAGAAAAAAAAAGGGAGGAGGGCACATTTCTTCTCCTCCTTCTGTGTTGGGGACTGTTCCAGACAGATTGATTTTTTACTTGAATTCTACATTTTTGCAAGCCTTTTACAGCCTATGCTAATAACTTGTATTTGGTGCAATGGAAAATATATGCATACTATTGCAGAGGACAAAAATGTCCTAAATCTTAGTGGCCTGGATTCTTCGACCTCGACAAGTTTAGTCTGAAAACATTTGTTACATGATGAAAAGCTTTGTGGGAATTCTAATAACATTCTCAAAGGGTTAACGATGCCGAACTGATTGGCACTAAAAACTAGATTTCATTTGGTACAGTGACAGGGAAGCTATGCCACCAGGACTACACATCCATGCCCACATTATTATAGGACAATTTAGGTCATCTTATTTTAAATTTCATGGCTCTGTAACATAGATGTAAATCAAAGTCAGTGAGGCAAATGATGATTTTTCCATAGTGAGATTTTTATAGTCTTGATCTTGAAAATATGCTTTGGACCAAAGCTGTCTATCAAAATTCTAGGAATTAGCCAAAGAAGTTCGTGCTGTTGCTGGTACACAGTTAGAATCAGAAACTAAAAGCGGGAAGCTTTCAGAATGAGACATGGCTCATCATGCTTAAGATATGACTTTCCCAACATCAACAAAAATTGACATTTTAACAGTTGGAATCAGCAGCTCTTCTATTCTGGAAATGTACAGATATTGAAATGGTGACATTCTGCACAGAGGCATAACAATAGAGGCAAGTAAATATTACATACTGTGTTTGAATGTGTAAAACAAAACAAAGATAGATGTATGTTTACCTGATATATAGATGTGTGCATGTCTAAGCACATTATCTGTTACTGAAGAATCACGAGTACTTAATTAACATGATGGCTGTACACAGAATCAGTCATATATAAAGCAATTCTTTACTTTAATAAACACATCATGAATTTGATATATTAGTTGTTTTCTTTTTTAGAGTTGATTTATCCGTCACTTTCACTTCCAGATTTGATTTATTGGTCAATTTCTTTTCAAGATTTGATTTATTGGGCAATTGCTTTTCAAGATTTGATTAAAGCACATTGCAGAAGTCCTTTTAGATGTACTTCTAAATATCGCACATATATCTAGTACTGTATGTTTAAAATCTTAATTCCCAAACTTTCTTGATTAACAATTCATCTTTTCTGTCCGGAGCTAGTCCCTATTATACATGAATATAGTCTGAATCTGATGAAACAACCAATTATAGTGGACATAAAATACAGTAAGTACAGTTTTATAATAAACTGCATACAGTGATGCTTTAAGGAAATTCAAGGGAATTTATATAAGGTATTCACACACACTAAGTAAAACCTCAGTTCTGGGCTCCACATTTTTTTATTTTAAAATTACGTATCAGGCTAGAAAATACCAGTAGAAGGGAGCTACCGTAATACAACTCCTTTTGCTTTAAAGAAATCAGAGCTAGGACATTGATATAAGGGAAGGAGTTTTTCCTTAATGAATAAGGTCACAGGCACCAACGTGCCTGTTTAGGGAAACAACGGCATATACTGTGGAACAGAGTGGACTCTGTGAGCTGAATCCTGCATTGAAGTTAGGGACAATTTTAGACCCTAGCATATGTTTGAGGGGACTGTTATCCTAAAATGCAATGGGAACTTTAGCATCCACCTGAACAGACGCCGCTTTAACAACTCCTCCACATGGCAGCAGCTCTCGCACCGAATCCTCCTCCTTCGTGCTGCATTGTGGTGTGAGCAGCAGTATAATCCCAAATCCCCTTAGAGCAGTGGGACCCGAAACCCTCTAGCGTAACGGTGAGACTGCTACCAATGTCACACTGCTAATGGCAGCCAACTGCTACCGAAGCAAAGCTTTCCTCCTGAATTGTGGTTGGTCCCGACTTGTGTGTGTGACACTGCAAGGCTTACCAGAGTCAAGTGAACCAAATTAGTACCCAAATGAGACTTCTGCAAGGGGTGCTGCATGAAGGAAGATATCTTCCATAGCCAGTCTATAGTGAGTGTTCATCCACTGAGGGAGCACTAAGCTAAAATGCCAGCGTGGCATTAGGAAGAACGGTGCCAGATGAGTCATCTTTTGAACAGAAAGAGCAGCAGAGGAAGCTACAGCTTCCACGGGAAATTTAATAAGGGGAAGGCTGCCAAGCTAGATGTTTTGACCAGATTTGAGCTGTGGTAATTAAACTCTGCCTAGCTTGAATTCCACCCCCTGCAACCTCAACAAGATACCGGTGTATTATGCACTTCCTATGGTGCCCCGAGCTCTGGATGATGCCAGGCTCGGCTGTTACACTGCTGCTTCTTTCCACTGGTGGGTGAAATAGTCTTTGTCCATGCGTTCTTTCTCTGCTTCGCAGGGGTGCGTTGAGGCACCCGATAAATGCAATGAGAGACTCTCAAAAAGTGCGAACATGTTTTACAGGCACCACTTGTCTCCTCTGGATAAACTGGACAACCTCGGCATTGCCCCACCAGCACGGCGGGACAGTAGGACCCAGACCTGGTCTATCCAGGTGCTTTGCACCCTGCATAATGCCCGGCTGGTTGCTGAATTAAGCATGAGCCACTCGTGCATTTGTTGAGGCTTTGATTTCAAAGGGCACTGCTTCTCCGCTCAGCTGGAGCTCACTGGCAGTCCTGAGCAACCGATGGGCGAGATGGTGCCCTTTAAATAAAAGCCTCTGCACACATCTGGAACACCTCAGCTGTTTGCTGCTGCTATATATACCCTTGGCTACTTTACAAACACCCTCCTTCCCAGTGTGGGGAAGACACTCGACCCTGCAAAGGAGCCGAATCCTACATTATTTTTGCATATGCCATCTGCAGGCTTCATTAGACAAAATGTTTCCATTCTGCCTAGCACTGAGCCCCTTCCAATGGACAACACCTGTCCTATGGCAGGATCAGGTCCAACGTTAACAGCATTCATACGGTGCATATACATGCCACCGGTATGTATATATTAAGGGCCCGCTCAAACTGAAGTTGAAGGAAGCTTCCCCTTTGAATTCAGCAAGAGGTGCGTCAGGCCCTAAAAGAAAAAACAAAAAACAAAAAAATAAGCTATGCAGAGCATGCAGGTGGGCAGCAGTAATCCCCAAAGGTGTTTACATGGCTTTCCTCTTGCCATACAGCTAGCCGTGAAAGCAAGAAGTGTGCAGAAAGATACAGAGGCGTCTGCATTTTGCGTGGCACTAAGCAGAAC